CAACCGACGTTTGGGCTAGTCATCATTAATCGGAGAGTGGAACAAGTCTTAAATGTATATTTTCCAAGGTGGAACCCACCAAATCAAACCGTGGATATGAATCACCTAGTCTATAAAATACTGCTGAATATGGATTAGAAAATTAGGAGGATCAATTCACAAATAGAGTCACTTGAGTTCAACCAAATTTTCAAATTGGTTTCGCAAAAGTTTCAAGTGTAAAAGTAGACTACACATTTTTACTTCCATTCTCAATTTCATTTTATTGGAAGATAAAACTGATCGTCAAAAGAAAAATTCCAAATTCGTTTCTAACCCTAACCCACGATAAAAGCTGTGAAAATTCGATCTGCTGAAGGAAGAGGAGGAGGATCTCGGGCACATTTTATCTAATGAAAGTATGAGTTTACATTATTTTTTTGAATCGAACGAGTAATAACTTCGAATGGCTTAAAACCTTTTTTGAGCTCTGTAGAGAGGCCTTCGCATTCCTAATCCAGTAGTGTTGGATGGTATTTCTACACAATCAACTCCTATCGAAATATGACCTACACAAAGAAAATTACTTGTAATTCGTTGGACTCAGAAGGAATGCTAGCTAAACTTGAGTGATTATGTGCGAAAATTTAGAGATTACAAAGTGAAAAGTGGGGGCCGGCTTTTGTGGCCGTTGTCTCCAAAGAGAAGCAAGGACATATGTGGCAACTGCCCCTCGAGTAATTATGAAGAAGAGAAGGGGACCACTGTTAGTTAGTTATTCGGTTGCATAATCCACATCGACGGTGACGATTACATCGAAGGCGCAATCCTAGGCAGGCGGGCATCCACCTAGTCAGCTACACGTGTCCCTTTTGTCCTCGTCTAGGAAATTCAGTCAAACTCCCTCGCAACCTCGTAAAAATTACTACTATTCTATTATTTTAATTATCTATTTATCTTACATCACTTCGGGTTGTTTTTCTTCCGTTATCTTATCACGTCTCTTTCCAATTTTGAAAATCGTTAGTCATGGTTCCAAGGGATAAAGATAACATGGTTTTGAGATTAAGATAAATTATTATTTTAAGCAAATTGATTATTTTTTAATGAATGAATATTTATTAATTTCAAAAGTATTTGGCCCCCCATTTGATCTATATTATTATATCATTAAACTGAAAAATATGACCGTTATTCACCACATCAACATTTAAATTCAAATTCAAATTTTCTATCTCTCATGTGGGCCCCAATAACGGTTATATTTTTTATTATCATTCTATAATAATTTGGCTCAAACGGGGCCTTTGTATTTTTACTATTTGTAGTAAAATCGAGATTTTACTGTAAGCCTCCTGTGTGAGTCACATTATTTTTTTCATTTTCATTCTTCTATTCATTTTCAATCACACATTTTTCAATAAAATAATGTTTTTCATCACATCAATATTTTTTCCTTCTTTTTCAACTACATATCCCCCCATCACATCAACAAAAAAAAAATGTATCTTGGTCCCAAAATGTGCACCAAACAGGGTATAAGTGTGGAGTAAATTCACTCACCAACAACTATTTTGTCTTGGTTGGTTAGAGATTAGGTTTCTCACGGTCAATATTTAGAGTTCGGAAATTGTTATTTCCATCCCCTATTTCGTGAAAAATAAAAGTAAAAATCATCTACACGTCAACATAAAAACGTGTGCTTTTTTGATAAATAGCATGTCATAAAATTTTAGTTCACCAACGTATCGTGACCACCAACGTCGAGGATTTTAAATTTTAACATAATTAGATAACATAATAAATAATATTTTTAAAAACTTTTTGCTTGTAAAAATCCAACTAGCTAAACTAGCCTCAGTATTTTAGAGTTATAGAGTTTACCTCTTTTCAAAAGTATGCATGGGACCAAATGATAGATAGAAAAACACAAGGAGAAGACTAACTGTTTTTTTCAAACACATGTTCAACCATCAAATTCAATTGTATAATCTTCTTGGCAATTTAAAAGTAAGAGAAACAATAGTGAATTTGTATAAGTTGAAATTCGACTTTTCATCTAAGCAAGAAGTGCCCTCTTATTTCGAGCATCATAATGTAATAAGAGCAAAAATCTTTAATCGAAATATTGTACATCAAACTGAGTAATGAAATTTTTCATATCGGAAAGAAAGCATTGATACTATAGTATCTATGCACAAAAGAACGCATAGTATAAAAAATTAACATATAACATAACAATTTTCAAAAAAGAATATTAAAGATGGCAGCTTGTTTTTTATGGTGTAGAAATCTATTTTGCAGAGTTTATACTCAAAATGCAATGGCTTATCACTCGAATACGAACTTTTTGGTCAACGTCAATCTTACCTCGAAATGCACGTATCATCGTGATGGATTTGAAATAATCTTTGTCATACTAACATCTTACTTGCGTATAACACTTATGAGGTCAATTTATGCTGATTAGGTAAAAGATTGGTCATACGAGTTTGCATTGAGCTCAATTGTTCTACGTAAGTGCTAATTTGAACTCACCCTGAATGTGGCCCGTCAATCACTTCACCAATTAAGTCCTCGACCTTGTGTTAGAGCTCAACTTCTGTAGGTTCATTTGACTTCCAAAGTTTATTCACCATCGATGTGAGTGTAAGTTAATTATGAGGTATCACAAGGATGAACAACTTGCTCCAAATATGGAAGTTGTTGAAATGGTGCATGTGACATTCTGAACCATACTGGAGCTTCAAATAGTTACTACAAATGTAATGAAGGCAGTAGCCATCACAAGAGTGACCACAAGACAACAAAATATATTCATATCACACGATAATGAAAAGTACTGTTATTCCTCACCTCTGAGGCCCAGAGAGACAATGCAGAAGGTCAACAAGAAAGTCAAACAAAGATCCATGATGTCAAAACACGAAGAAAGCAAACAAGGCCGAAGTCCTTACACTGCAAGGACGAAGTTCATGCTGATGCATTACCACAAAGACGAAGGTACTTAAAGGAAACATAGAAATTAGCCGAGGCTCTCCACTTAGAGAAATACTTCGAAGATTCCTCCGAGGCTCTCAAATTCGTCTAAAACTTGCAAGCTGACGTTGTTCCTGGGGAAAGATTCGAAGATCTCTTTGAAGTGATTGATGTAAACACTTTGTAATAAATGTTTGTCTGTATGTCAGCCTATTGTATAATGCGGCGGACCCCTTGTCAATATATTAATTGTATGAATAGACAGTAATGTAATGTCCCAATTAGGGAGATGGGGTCACATGGTTCAGATCCAACGATCACCACGTCGGCCAAGAAAGTATAAATATATTTTCTTTGTAACTTAAGGGAGGGAGGGGTGAGAAACAAGACAGCAACACATATTTGAAACGCATAACTTGAACTTTGAAGAGAAATATACGAACACTTGGGCTTACTTTCTATCTTCTTTTCAATATGTTTATGAGTTGTAAATTTCCATACACGACGTAACAATTTCAGTACACATCATTTATATCTTTCCATGTATTCCCGTGACTGATTACATAGATTAGTTTGATTTTAATCAGGCAATCGTTGTTAGCGCGATTGCTTTTGTTCCACCCGTCGGAACTTGAACATTTTTGTCTCTCGTCGTAATGTACCTCCCGCGTCCATATCCTCTTTACTATAGTCATCGTTTCTATAGAAATACACTGGAATCGTACTTAACTTGGTATGAGCAGGCCCGACATCTGTTGACTCATTTTCAGGGGTCAACAAGTACAATGAAAACACGAGATATGTATATTTTAGCACCTCCCTTTGTTGGCTAAATTTTGTTGCATTGAATCTATATTAATTGGAGGTTAAGTCTATCGTCCCTCTCTTTAAACTCGTATTTTTTTCTACATGAATAAGTACTCTACCTATGTGATAGTTTAATTTAAAAACAAAAACAAAAAAACCAGTTGTCTTTCTGTGGAGTTCATTGCAAGCAAATGGAACTTCACTTGACCGTCTCTACCCTTGAACAATACATTATACGTTTTTATCGCACATTTAACAAAACTTCTTCCACTCGACATCAACCGTTAAACCCGACATAACTAAGTATCAAAGTATTCTCGACCACTCCATCGATCCACCCCATTTGATCAAGTGGCCAAGCAGTCTGGCCGAAGTTAATTGTGGTTGGTGCATCAGTGGGATATTAATGGTGGGGGCCGTAAAATTGAGGCCAGTAAATGAATTTTTGAATTTATGGTGGGTATTTTGAACGTATGAATAAAGAATAGGGCTCATTGGGAGTGCCAATGGCACGTGAACACGATTCTTTAGAATAATTTTGCAAATAGTCACTTAAATTCAAGTAAAATTTCAGGCATGTTCGAGTCACATTAAAATTTTCAATCTCATTCTTCTATTCATTTTCAATCACACATTTTTCAATAAAATAATATTTTCAATCACATCAATAATTTCTCATTCTTTTTCAACCACACATTTTTCATCAATATACTATTTCAAAATACATTTTTCCAAAATAATGTGGCTCAAACACACCCTCAAATTAATTTTCAAAGTGGAGTCCACAAAAATAAATAGCAATTTAAAATTAGTCGTCGCCCGTCACATCATAATTAAGTGGTATATATTTTTGAATTGGGTGCTGCCACATAGACAGGCTCCTTATAGGCAGGGCGCCTGGGCTGCTCTCATTCAATGATTCAGGTCATGTTTGAGTCACATTATATTTTTCATTCTCATTCTTGTACTCATTTTTAATTATATATTTTTCAATAAAATAATATTTTTCATCACATCAATAACTTTTCTTTATTTTTCAATTACATATTCCCCATCACATCAACCAAAAAAATACATTCTCTCCACAAAAATGATTGCCAAACAAGACTCAATTTACTTAAAATTTAGTCATTAAAAATGAAATTAAACATCCAGCTCTGGATAAATATAAGGGCACTTTATAATTTTTTTAAATTTTTTTAATTATATTTTCAAATTGAAAAGGACAAAAAGAAATGAACATGGAAGGTTTTGTTGGGGTATATAAATAGGAGGGCAAAAGTGAGGCTCGTATTAGAGTTTCATTTGCCCTTTGCGCCTTACTGATATAAAAAGCCGCCATTGCTCTTTGTCTCTCAAATCTCGTTCTTCTTGTACAATCTTCAATTTTTACTGCATTAATTTTCTCTGTTTGGGCTTGCCATCTTCTGTAAGTTTTTTTTTTCTCTTCATGCTGGCCTGATGCCTGACTGAATAATTGCTTGTTTATTTTTCTGTGCTAAAGTATAGACGGACGGAAAATGAAGTATGTTTTGGTGACTGGAGGAGTGGTTAGCGGTTTGGGGAAAGGAGTGACTGCAAGCAGTATTGGTCTCATCCTTAAGGCCTGTGGACTTCGCGTTACTTCCATCAAAATTGGTTAATGTTTCTCCTTCTCTCCTTCTTGTTATTTTCTTTCATTCTCTCTCTCTCTCTCTCTTTTGGGAGAAGTATGAACGAAAATGTGTGTGAGTCTAATCTCTGTGATCGAATCCAAAAAAAAGTGCATATACTTTTCCTTTTCCAGTTTGGTTTTCATATTGCCTTTTGAGAGACGATAAAATTACCCTTTAAAAGTTATTATACTGTGACAAGAGATTAGGCAGTGTTTGATTTATGTCCTTTTTCCATATCCTGGGGAACTTTCTCATTTTCTATTTTTCATTACATCTCTTTTGTTTTTTCTAATTTTCTTGTATCTTTAATATCACCACCCTTTTTGGAATTTTCTTTTTTGTTTAAACTATGTTATTTTTTCATTTCTCTCTCTTTTATTTTGGTATGCAGATCCCTACTTGAATACTGATGCCGGGACAATGTCGCCTTTTGAGCATGGAGAAGTGTACGTTTTGGACGATGGAGGAGAGGTTAGAAAAGCATCCTTCAATTAAGCTTAGTTTGCTTAGATCTAAATATTTAGTTTCGCTTGAATTTTGTTTTAGTATCATTTTAATTCTGTCATCGAGCTGTGATCCATAGTCCTAGATTCAATTGAGGTTACGATCTTATGAAGATTGCAGCTATTTCATGTTTTTTTTCTATAGCACGTAGTCTTGTCTGTAAATTTTGGTGTGAAATCTTGCCAGAAGTGGTGCTTGAAAGTTGAATCTCTCTCATACACCAAGTAAATGATGACTTGATTCCAATTTTTGAAGGTTGACCTTGACCTTGGAAACTATGAGCGCTTTCTAGATATAAAATTGACGCGCGACAATAATATAACTACTGGAAAAATTTACCAGGCAAGTTCTTGGCTTATTATTATTATTGTTATTATTACTATCTAATCTGTATCTGCTATGTTGAGGTCCTTAACAAGTTGGCAGATTTTGATTTGATATATTTTTCTTCTTCTTGTCTTGTTTTAGTTTGTTATTGATAAGGAGAGAAGGGGAGATTATCTGGGAACTACTGTTCAGGTTGCCACTAATTTTTTAGTTTGCTTTTACGTTGTACCGTGTCTAATGGTGCATAATTTCATACTTCTTCTCTCCTTTAGGTTGTACCTCACATTACAGATGCCATCCAAGAGTGGATTGAACGTGTGGCTCTTATACCAGTGGATGGAAAAGAGGGTTCAGCTGATGTTTGTGTCATAGAATTGGGTGGCACTATTGGTACGAAAGGTGTTTCACTTGTATTAAAATAAGTTGTATTTAACATTGGTTGCTTCAAAAAATGATCTTTCATCATGCAGGCGATATCGAGTCAATGCCCTTCATTGAGGCTTTGGGACAGTTCTCATATCGAGTGGGTAAGATTATATCTGTGAATCTTGACTCGTAACTATATTCACTTAAAATAATTTTGTCAGAGGCTGGCAGTTGTTTTTCTTATAGAATCAAAACACATGACATCCTTGTGTCAATAATTGCCCTTCTCAGGAGCTGGCAACTTTTGCTTGATACATGTTAGCCTTGTGCCTGTTCTGGATGTTGTTGGTGAGCAGGTGAGGTTTTGGAGCATGAACTTACAGACTTTGTTTTATAGACATTCCTTTCTGTACAATTATTTTTAATCTTCAATATAATACAAGTACCATGGTGTTTGCATGGACAGAAAACAAAGCCAACACAGCATAGTGTTAGAGGGCTACGAAGCCTGGGATTGATTCCAAATATTTTAGTTTGCCGCAGCACCACGGTTCTCTCTCTCTCCCTCCCTCCCTTCTGAAGCTATTAACAAATTGAGTCAAAGGTTTACGTTCACGCTCAAACGGCTCAACAAATGACCACGCCTGACACCTCATTTTTAATAACATATGAGCTTCACAATTAATTATTGAGCCAATCCACGCCAGATCTTGAACTCCAGCCTAAAACTATTCATTTTTTTTAAAGAAATGATAATATATAATAATTTTGCAAGTATAAAATAAATTAGTCTACATTTGAAATTTAAAAAATATACAAGTATGATTTTTTAGTTGTGGAACTCACCCAAACACAAACAGAGATGCACATTTATTCTTATATAGTGGTAATTAAAGTATATATTATCCTTCAAGCTTAGTCAAGCTGAGCTGACTGGACAAAATACGATCTTAAAACCAAGTTCTAGCTCAGCTAGTATAATTGTAAACAAACCAGGCTCCGTGTTAATGGCTAAACTCATTCTATTCCCTCTACCCCACCAACACACGACACACATATTCCACTGCTTAAGTGTTAGTTCATTTTGCAGGAACTCGACGTGAATGTCAAGGAAAAACTTTGCCGTTTTTGCCATGTTCCGGTATTATGAGTTGACAAAAGTCTTTTTTTTTTCCAAAATATAAAAAAATTAGGTTCTGATATATTTCCCTTGCCTTCCAGTTAGAGAACATCATCACCCTCTATGATGTTTCCAACATTTGGAACGTGCCTTTGCTTTTGCAAGTAAGTATAATGCTCTGATTTGATATCATTCTACATTTTTTTTAACAGAGCTGTGACATCTGTTCCTCTTCCCATTTAGGACCAGAAGGCTCATGAGGCAATTTTGAAAGCCTTGAACCTCAAAAGGTTTGTGAAAATGTCTACGGTCTTTTTTGTTCTGTTAATTCTTTTAGGATTTTGACGCTATCATTTCTATTTTGTCTTGCCAATGATGTGAATTGATCTTATTGTATTATGCTGTAGTGATTGTCTCAAACCTGATTTGGTAGAATGGACATCTAGGGCAAATCTCTGTGATACGTTGCATGAGCCTGTAGGTTCTCATCATTTCCAAATTTGGACATAAATACTATTGTTTCCCACAACATTTTCAAATATTGTTTTGTTTGTTTACAGATCAGAATTGCCATGGTTGGAAAGTACACTGGCCTTACAGATTCTTACCTTTCTGTGCTGAAGGTGAACTTAATGTGTCAATTGTACTTTCAACTTAGTTTTAATTTACTATCAACATGCAGCTAGCTTTAATTTATGTATTTAAAGCGCTGACTGAATTCTTATTTGTACTTTCTTTTCTTCTGTATATAACTGTTTTATAAAAGTACAATAACATATCTCAAATTCAAAATAATTTGATAAATTTGGTCCCTGCAATCTACCACCGATGTAGATATGGGTATATCTGCACATATTCTATTCTTCTTGACAGATTGTTTATAAACCTCTAAAGTGGTTTTTTTCGGTGATTTTTTTCTTTACTAAATTGATCAATCTGAGTCATTGTATATTTTTTCCATCTTGGTAAATCTTTTTCCAATTTTCTTCTAATGCACTTAGCTTGTTTTTATAATTGACTCAAAGAAGCTTCTATAATATGATCTAACTTTCTTATTTTAGGGTTAGTCTATAATTCTGCTGCTGAAGTCCATGCTTTTTCTGAAGTCATTGCTTTTATCAATACTATTTTTTCGCACCAAACCACTAAACTGAGTTAAATCAAGTGACTGTCATTCCCTTGGAAAAGTATCTTATTGTGAATATTTTGTCATTTATTTCACAACAACCACTGCTTATGATCTGTTTTTGTGTCATCGGTGAGCATAGTTGGATGTGATTAATTTTACTGATGACCTGTGTTTCTGGATGGGCAGCTTACAAACAGCTCACAACCACTTCTTATGATCTGTTTTTGACATCTGCGAACTTAGTCAAATTTAATTAATTTTGCTGGCGGATTTTCTGGATGGGCAGCATATAATTAGCTCACTTGTTTATGATGCTGATGATTTGGCATTTGCAAACTCATCCTTGTGATAGTTGTAGAAGCTAGGCTTTGCAGGATTCCTGTCATTTTAATAATGCAAGGATGAGTCAAAGATGGCTATGAGTGATAGTTACCTGTTGCTAATTCATAGTTAAATCATTATTGCAGGCTCTTTTGCATGCTTCAGTTGCTTGCCGTCGGAAATTATGTATTAATTGGGTTCCATCCAGTGACCTTGAAGATGCCACTGCAAAAGAGGTTATTTATGTACTGCAATCATTTATCATATTTCTGTACACAGTATCTCAAAATTTGTCAGAAATTTTTGTCTTGCAGAATCCCGATGCCTATAAAAGCGCTTGGAATTTGTTGAAGGTCTGGATAGATTACACTTCAGTATTCACACAATCACTGATATATGCAACTTTTTCACATTTCTGATTACATGTCATAGTTGATCCTTCTGACAAATCCTTGCCTTATAGGGGGCTGATGGTGTACTAGTTCCTGGAGGATTTGGTGACAGAGGTGTGGAGGGTAAAATTCTTGCTGCAAAGTATGCCCGCGAAAACAGGATCCCTTACTTTGGAATATGTCTAGGAATGCAAATAGCTGTGATCGAGTTTGCACGATCTGTCCTTGGACGACAAGATGCAAACAGCACAGAGTTTGACCCAGATACTCAAAACCCTTGTGTTATATTTATGCCAGAGGTTCGTTGTTTTAGTATTTTTGTTTGCAAGAATATTATCCATCTATTTTTATTATATAAATTTGAACAGCCACTTATTCTCACATTTGTTTTAGCAGGGTTCAAAAACTCATATGGGAGGCACCATGCGCCTTGGATCAAGGAGGACATACTTTCAGAGTACCTCAAGTATATCTTATAGGCTGTAAGTCTATTAATCTTTGCCCTTCAAGTCCTCTCGGCCTATAAATGAAAATGTGAAGAAAAGACCAAACACTCTTGTATAGCATATCAGATACATTAGTTTCTTTGCACAATCAGGTTCTTCTTGTTAATTATACAGTGGAGCCATGACATGTGGCGGGGTAGAGTGTGTTGGATCAATATGCAGTGGTTAGGAACATTAGTGGACTGAAATGAGAATTGATGTGAATTCTGTCGGGTTTGAGAAGTGGCCTGTTGTAGTTTACCAATCTTGTACTAACATAAACCAAGAACTTTAGGATGTTCTCTAAAATGTTGCATGTCCAAGAATCCCGTCATATTCAATTATTCACCTCCCAGCATTATTTTGAAATGTGGTGTTTATAGGCATTTGTGCAAGTTGAAGCAATTACTGAGCAGGATAAAACCTCTAAATCTAACCTGAAAATGAATTGTATTTTTTTTTCCAGATATGGAAACAAAAGCTTTATTGATGAGAGACATCGACACAGATATGAGGTGTGTAGAACCACCATTCTCTGGACTTAATTTGCCGCAGTTTCAAATATAAAGAAATTTCTGTTCCTGAAAGGTGTTCTGTCAACAGTTCTGTAGGGCTTCATTTTAAAAGAAAGTTTAATCTTTTCTAGGTAAATCCGGATATGGTTCAGCAACTTGAAGATGCTGGTCTCTCATTTACTGGCAAAGATGAAAGTGGCGATCGCATGGAGGTAGTTCTTTCATAATGTCACATTGCTTTCCAATTACAATTGCTGCTTTTATGCATTTCTTCCGTTCGTGGAGGTAATTTTGCTTGTCGTTGCAGATCATCGAGCTGCCCAGTCATCCTTACTTTATTGGCGTTCAATTTCACCCGGAGTTTAAATCGAGACCAGGGAAACCATCTGCTCTTTTCATAGGTACTTCTGTTTTCGATCTCAAGTTTCTGAGCATTGAAATTTGCAATCTGGAAGGCCAGGTTGTTTATCCTCCTTAAACTTATAGTTCCGTTTCCATGAATTTAAAAGAGATATTGCAAAAAGTAGATGCAATTTGACTTCTTTTGTCCTGTTATTAGTGATTTTAGTCGCTATATAATAGATATTAGAATCAATGAAAGCCTACAAGGAACAATAAAATTTGAGATGTATTACTCAAAATCTAGAGGGAGGCCAGGTTGAGGTGTTTTGGGAGTGTTCATCAAAATTACAGCAGTCTCATCCTTGCCCCCACGTGATAGTTTTTTGGCACAAAGTGATTATTTTGAGAATTGCACTGGCCAGACATAAAATCTAGCATGGAATGACGATGGTTCTGTAAACTTTGTGGACCATTATGTTTTTCTCTACTTTATCCTCTTAGGTAGGTGGGTAAATTTTGCAAAGTTTTAACTGTAAGAAGCTCTCTATCTTTGTCTAGTTTCCAATTCACTTTGTATCTGAAATCTGTATCAATATTTTCACACAACTTGATAAAAACTCTGACGAGCGAAGCAAAATAATTCCCCCACTCCAACCTCACACCTCTGGCACTAATAGGATGTTCAATCCCTGTAATTACTATAAAGACGAAATGATCCTCACATATGGTGACCTGCTAGATTTGTTTTTGAATTTTCGATTGCTAGTTCAGGATTGTCGTTCTGACCATCTTCTTTTACATGCAGTTCCTTAGATATTGAGAAAGGACTTGTAGGCATTTTTGTGAGTGGGTGTATGTTATAGTCGAGGAATAGTGATTAATCTTGATAATAACTTTTCGCAACAGGACTTATAGCAGCAGCATGTGGCCAGCTGGATACTCTTTTGAAGAAAAGTGCTACAAAGACACGCCGAATGAGCAATGGTACCTCAGCAAAAGCACACCTATATGAGAATGCAACTAAGCTAGCGAATGGCTCTTTAGATGGCATTTACTGCAATTGGAATGGTTTGCATGTTTGAACGATGAGTAGCTTGTGGAGCTTTGTGTTGAAAAAAATAACATACAATCCTCGTTTCTGTGGGTGTGATTTATCAATTTTGGTCCTAAAATTTGTTCGTGTATAGGCACACTAGTTTGGTAGGGGTAATATCTTCTCATATTGCCATGTCCACGGGTGCAGCTGAGTTCCGATCTTTTTAAAGGATCAAGCTGCTGTAGTTGCAGTGCAATGCCATGGAAAATGGGCCGAGCTAGGTTTTTTGGATGGACTAATTATTGACCACTGACCCTCCTGTGTGAGAGGTCTGCAATTCCCTGGATGAGGGATCATTAGCATGCTCGGATTCTCTATGATGTATTGTATAATCAATCAGTTGAAACAAAACAATGGTTGCCTGAACCAAGAGTTGGGACTGTCGTGACAAGTATTGAGTAATAACTGGATTGTTTTGAATTGTGGAGATTTAATGAAAATTTTACGTCGTTTCACTTGTTTCAAAAGCTCGAGTAGAGATTATGTTGTCTTTTTTGAGCAGTTAAGATGGACATATTGCATATACAGGGTAGTGTTCTAAATAGCGGAAAAAAGCGCCGCTATAGCGCAGAGCGTGGAGAAAACGTGACACTTTTGTGATATGCGTGTAAAATAGTGGTCAACCTTTTTTGTTGACCGCTTTAGCGCGCTATAGAGGCACATTGCGCGATTAAGCGCACTTTTTCCCGCCTTATCGCTCTTAATNATCGTGCAAATCCTCTATTTAGTGTCCAATCCATTAACAGTATAATTAATACTTAATGGTGAATGTGTATGTTTATTTTTATATAAAAAAATTGTTTTTTTAATATAAAAATCTATTTCTTATACTTCAAATAATATTAAAAGTACGAAACGCGTTATGACGCTTATTCTCCACATTGACATACTTAAACTTGTGATTCTTGATTCTCGACCTCGACGCTACACAACGCTTTACGCTTTTTAGAACACATACATGGTTGAGCTTTGGTCGTGATGAGATCCCACGAGTTGCACAAAAAGCAAAAACGAATAGAGATAATTTTCAAAGTTTTCATTCACAATTCAAAGTATACATTACATACATAAATACAAGCAACAATACAAATAAATCTGAAATTAAAATCCCCTAATAGAGAAAAAGAAAAGCAAGCAATAATGGAGATAAGATGTGGATGTGCTATTCTCAAGCACATGCATTCATGGACCCAACACATGACCACATGCTCTCTGTCTCCCACCAACACTCTCCTTTCTTTATTCCTTCCTCCCTAATTCATTTTTAATTTAAGTAACTCTCTCATTAATTATAAGCTAATAAACACTCACTTCATCAAACTTATAATCCAAAAGGGATTGACTATGTTAGGCAATCAACTAATTAATCAGCTTTTGGTCGGTCGGTTTATTAAAAAAAAAAAAACATAATTCGATCTATAGCCAACGTGATTACAGAAGGAATGGCGCTTGCGCAACTTGAACACAATGATGGTGTCGTGGGCAGGTGATTAAGTGGTCATTTGAGAGGCCAGCGGCCTGCATGAACGAGTGTACGATGGTCGGTCCGACTAATCGAAAACCCCTCCTAACCATGTCCTTGCTTATGGATTCCGATTTCGAAGTCTTCACTGGGATTTTGTGGCATGATTTGTACTTTGTTGCTATGGGTTTGTTGTTCACAAATCTCCACACGTATTTCTCAAATGATCCGAATTCCTTATTGATCTGCAAATAATAAACATTCACTATTTGAATCAGAAAAATCAAGTGAAATTGATGGAATCATTGATTGGCCACTATGATTACCAATTAGGTATGTATATAAGCCAACTGACTCATGCACATGGTCCATGTCCCATGTGGCATGTCGTCTTACTATTTACTAACAAAAGTTGATGTAGATAGTAGTGTATTATAATAGATAATTGCGGTGCTGACCTCGAGAATTCTGTTGGAATTGTCGACCACACCTCGGACTTGGCTCAAGTCTATACCACAATCAGTACTGATCGAATTTATCTTCTTTTCGGAAAATTTTGAAACAATTTCTGCATCAAATCCTGAAAATGCATCCCTGGAATCGGATATAAAATGCAATCAGATTCAACAAAATAAAAGTTTGTCCTAATAATCTTAATTAACAAGGCCCCTCACCTGAGATCTTGTCTTTTCTTTAACACTGAAGTCCAATCTGATCCAACTTGCGCACCAATTAACACCAACAATTCAAACAGCAGTCTGCAATTAATGCATTCACCAAGAAATAAAAAACCCATGTTTCAAATGTCTCTGTTTATTTTTATAGGAGTCTAGATCTGCTGTTCCGAACTAACTGTGTCTTTGGCTGTCACCACGATCCCTTTTTGAACTTTCTTAACAAATGGGAAGACGTTAACACATTAATGTGACATTAGACGACAGCCAAGGAGGCAGCAAGTTCGGGGCCGCACTGCTTAAGCAAAGAGAAAAATGGAGGAGAGAAAGAACCTACTTATCCTCGTGGACAGGTACTCCCCATTCTTCATCATGATAAGTAACATAGATTGGGTCTACACCACCAGAGAAAATGAAATTAGTAACTAGATTTCTATTAGTGATAATTAAGCGACATTAATTGATATGTCATCACGGTTTGATTACCCGAATTCGGAGTGATGAAGGTGCATCGCTTTTCTTGATCTCGAACAGCAGCATTATTAGTAACCAAAGAAGAATGATGATGATGATGATTATTATCATCATCAGGAACAGCCTTCTTAATTGATTTAGTTCTTCCATAATGCGCGATACGCATTTTTCTTTGCTCTTGCATAATTGCAACTTGTTCTCTTCTAGCTGCCGCTATGCTTCCGGGTGCCTCGACTATGAGCGAGTTGGAAGAGCATTTCGACGAACCATTATCGCCGGATTGTAGGATACCTGATGATTTCTTGGACTTCTTCACTACTATTGCACTGGAAGCTTTAACATTCAAGGATTTTGGTGTCACGATCAGCCTCTCAACGCTCGAGTTCAAATCGTTACTTCTCTTGATAGCTGGCAGTCTTGGAGATTTCAGCTTAGGAGAGACCGGAGGGGTGGCTGTGGCAGTCGATGAGGGCGGCCTCACTTTGGCAGTCGTCTTTTTAAGCAGCGAGTTTGGTCTTTCCAATAAAGGAATGCGATTGCAGTTGGGTTGAAGAACCCGGCGCTTATTAACACAAGTTGGCGAGGTGCTACCATCGCCATTAAAATTATCTTGCGATTTAGACTTTGAGCTACACATCTCTTTGGTACAACAATCTATCGAAAGAAGAAATAGAAAACGTAAGCAAAAGAGACAGAGAAATAAGAATCGACCCGGAAATGAAAATGGGCGAAAGGACTTAATTAAGAATGGATGGATAAATGGTACGTATATAAAAGGGATGGGTAGGGACAGGATTGTGGAAGCAGTCACATGGAGGGGTTGAGGTCTGCCTGCCATACACACAGACATGTACCCCCTTGTGAAGGGCACTTTTCTTAGGGGTTTAGAATATTGTATACATTTATTAATTATATGATTGATCACGTATAACCCCCCCAATTGCTAGGCTGCTAATGGACCCTATTTCGCTTTACTGCTGTTTCATTGCCAACTCAATTGTTAGAGTGTGGATGAAGGTTTTTGGGATTCAGAAAAAGACTTTGCTTTGCAGTTGGCTCAAATCATCTTTCTATCACTTTCTCCTTTTTAAAATGTCTTGAGTAGTTAAGTTTTCAGAGTTTATTAGTTGGAACTAATCAAATAAAAAGTCAGGACAACTCCATAAAACAGCCTTTTATTTCAATATTAATTACTATTTTTTCAAAGATATCTCTACGAGTCTGTGATCACGCAAGTCAATTTGCTAAAGACGTAAAGTAAAAGATAGGATGTTGATGGTTCGAAGTCGGAACAGATCTGAGGGACTCCCACAGTCACACCGCTTCAGTCGAACTCGAAACGGCAAACTGGAAGAGGGCGTGGGCGACACTATTCGATTGCATGAAGAGTTGGGTTCTTGATTGGACGGCATTTAAATAATCTAATTCAATCAAGAAAATGTTCATGGACGAAGATTAAACCCAAATTGACATTCTTATTATATATTTGAAGTAATTTGGTCTATGCAGTCTGCACATTCCTCCAGGCTTTGGCATTGAAGGAATCTGCAATGGTCCCATGTGCCATATGCTCTATAAGGAGTTTTCACTATTAAGTATTAATCAATGTGCCCCTTTCACTGCCTCATCCATTCATAACTAAGTTACATTCATAAAATTGGGGAATCTTTTCCTTCATGTAATCACTAACGAAAAAACTTCAATTCTTCGTCGATTCAAGTAGTTGAGAATCGCGGATGAGAGAAAAATAAAAAGAACGCGACCCACCCTCCGACTTACCAAATTCATAACTTTCGTCTCAGAATGCATAAGTTTGTGGACCACCTTATTCCCAATAGTCACAATCCATCCATCCGACCTTGCTCGTTCAATGTTGTATATATGATTTTTGGTTTACTTTGTTTTTGTTATTGTCAAATGTGAATGACATAATTAACCCTTAACTAATATTAGATAAAGATGAAACATCCCATGTGCTTTATATCAACATAATGGAATCATGAATTATTAAGACATGAAGCCGGCAAAACACATGAGACATGTATTCTTATTCATAATCCCAAAAAGAACATACTACGCGTGAACAACTATGGAACCATATGTATGTACGATACAAATTAATGTACAATGATGGATAGGGAACTAATTTTTTTAATGAAGTGAATAAAAAAATTTAATTGATGAATTGAGTTGTGAATATTATTGTAACGTCTTTGTTAGTAGGAACCAAAACAGCGTCCACAAAGGCAAAAACTCGTATTAATTAGTGTTGAAGTTGTTTTTCTTTGATAAGAATTGATAAACGGGTTAGAATGATGGGGTATTCTGTCGATGTTATCTCAACAGTACGACATGTGGTTGATAATATTATTCTTTATTTTAGTGGCCTAGCGGACCAACTTGATGGGCCCATTTGTGATGTGATCTATAAACCCACGTAAGGTCCAATATATCCTTTTGGAATGACCTAAGAAATGAACAAATTATTTCCGTATAAGCAATCCAAATTTCAAAAACCATATTCAGTTCCAAGCAAAATAAACTTTTTGCCATTATATAATTTATTTGTCTCTTGTTTTGTATATGATGCACGTACTTTTCAAAAAAAAAAAAATTATAGTTTATAAGCACCTTTTAAACTTAGCCAAACATGCTTGCCTTCCTGAAACAATGGGCCTAGGTTAAGAGGCCCAAACAATGAAGAAAATGGATGTCAATTAATAAGCTTTGTAATTGGGCTATTTAAATAAGTGGAAATTACATGGAGCCCTACTTTTCAAGATTCAAGTTCAAAAATCAGATTTTATATTTTAATGTTCAAAAATCGGATATTTAAATATATAGATACATATTTTTTATATTTAAATAAATATTAATAAAAATAGTATGAAAATTAAATTATATACACCCACCCCACCCCTAAAATTAGCAAACCTAAATTCTCGTCATTCTCTCTCCTCTCACGCCGCTTTCTTTCTCCACGACTCTCATTTTCTCTCTCTCTGTGGTGCCTGGCTGGTGGTGGCGCCGGTGGTGCTG